GGGGACCTAGGTACCTCTTTCTCCAGGGGAAAAAGGAGGACAAAAACGCCATCCACTTCAAAACACCCTTGAAAACCGTCAAATCGTCCTTTCTTTTCGTTGTTCCTTGGGGGTGGAACAAATCGTGGAATGATCAGGGACGACGGCGGCGGCAAACACCAATTACTCCTCAGACAGGAGCCCTTAATCTGGGATGGGCCACAAAGCTGGGAAAGATTTTGGAAACAGGAATTGTACGATAGTACGGGATATCCGCACAAACTTAATGCAATCATAGAAGAGCGCTTATTTGGCTCAATTGATGAAATATCCAGCTGAGGGTGGCGATCAAAGCGTGAGGGGAATATACAGCCTAGAAGACTTGACCTACCTCCCAAGTCACGCGTAGCTCCTTCCTGATCTGGCAGTGTTCCTTGCCCAGCCATGCAGGCAAGATTTATACTACCATGAAATAATTGATAACCACATAGACCAGTGACTTTACTAAGTGTTTACCCAACAACCTCAATAAACCTACTGACTACATGTACAGCCCTCCTAGATAATACAACCTTGCTTAAGGATGACTATTAAGTTCATGCCTCCTCCAAAGAGTGGAAAGAATCACAGCCAAAGAACATCGCCCACGTGACAGCCCCCCTTCTAACGAATCAGGCAATCTTCTGGAATGCAGGATGCCCATCCAACGACGTCATCGTCTTCTTCCCCGCCATTCCACAGACTCAACGTACCATAGCCAAAACACCTTTTATAAACGCTCGCCTAACTGTAATGAGACTCTTTACGCATCTCGTCAGGAATCTATAGAAATAATCATGGCAGAAACACAAACTTACCCCATTGGAACCCGCAGCGAGTGTGAACGTCTCGTCCGAGACTGGGGTTTCCGACATATCTTTACCTGGTCTGATGGCAGGTAAGTCAAATTACTGATTATTTAAGGACTTGTATCGGTATGCGTAGGCTTGAGCTTACTTCTGTGCGCTGTATAGCAATGCATATTACTCGCCTCATAGACATGCGGGCTTGACAACACATCTTATTCGACAGGGTACTCTTACAATTACGTATCCGGAGGACAATGTTCAATTCAATAATGGGGAGGTTAAGAAGGAGACATTTGGGGTTGGGGCCCGGGTCGATGTACCGGCTGGAAAGCTGCATGAGGTGTGGATTGGGGAAGACGGGTGTGAGTATGTGATTGGGGAGTAGAAGAGTTCGGATACGATGTGTGCATGGTGCACATATGATACGACTAACGAAGGTTCTAATGTGGGCGGCATGTATTTTGGACTCTTCTATTCGAATCTATTAACGGTTGGCCGTCTAATTCTCTAATCCTAAACGAAGTGGTATCACAAAAGACTTTTAAATCATAACTAGCACCCCTGATCCATGTCCAGCTGGATCTAGCTCGCTTTGCTCGAATATTTAATGGATGAATCTAAAATCGAGTCTGGGAAGAGTTAGCGAAGGCACCGCTAAAAAGGCCAGAGAGCCACATACCGTTTGTTGCCCAGGTGACCGTTAGCAGCCAGATATTCCTCTCTCTCGGCGCTAGACATGACATCCCACTTTTCGGCATTCTTCCTATGTAGGTCAGGCGTATAAGTATCTGTATCGGATTGATCTCAATGGGTTTAGTAGACAACGTACTTGTTGCGCCACATGTAGTAGTACTTGGCTCCAATGAACACGAAAATGCTCCAAACTGTCAACGCAATGAGAACCTTGTTTCCAGTGCGATAGTACGGTTTGTCATTTTCACGATATATCTAGAAGAGCAAAGATCAACACATATCCACTTGTGCGAGTGGCTGGAGGTGGGAGAGTTCACTCACATTGTTGGAGATAATGCTTGACGTCTGGACCATCATGTTGTAAACCGCACTGGCAACTGTTCTCGTACGAACCGTGCCGGCGTTTCGAGAGGTCATGGCGACAACTATGGCATGCACATATGGTGCTCCGATCAGTAGAATATTAATGATCCACCGAGACCAAGGGCTAGCATTATCTGGCAGGGTCTCAAGCGCGATCAAGAGAACCAAGCACCAAAGCATAGACCCGACTCCTAGAATCAACCGTTGGTAAAACCGCTCTGAGATCCAGGTCCATACAAGTAGGTTGATAATGAAAATCACGTAAGCTGGGATTGTCAAGAGATTCGTCTCAAATGTACCGAATCCCAACGACTTCAGCTGTATGGTGATGTAGTTTGTTGCTGGCGAATTGGGGATCATCCATGTTAATCCTAGCAGGTAGATGGGCCACATGTCATAGTCGCAAAGGGCCTCCCAAAGCATCTTAAGCGTCACAGCCTGTCGGTTGTGCATGCCTCCCTTGCTCGGATCATCGCGGAGCACTCGGTTGACCATGATCTTCTCTTCACGCTCGTTGAACCAGCCATCTTTGCCGCGAAAGCCGCCTTTGGTTTGAGTAGGTGATGCCGGCATCCAGAACGCTGCAATGATCGCAATGACTCCTGTTATCAGACCCTCAAAGGCAAACAAATACCGCCAGCCACCGGTACCGTCAGGCCTCCGCACGTGTAAGAAGCCATATGCTAAGAATGCACTGACAATCGATGTCCCCTCGTAGGAAACCCAGAAATAACTCAATCGGATAGGTAACTCCTTAGACTTGTACCAAAAGGAGAGAAAGAGAATAGTATCCGGGATGCTGCCATGTGTTAATGGGCTATCAAATGAGACCTCAGATGCACAATTAAACTCACAATCCACCCTCAAAAAGAGCCAACAACGCCCTGCAGACATAGTATGACTTTTTTCCCGAAAGGAAAGCCTGGAAGGCGGCAATCAAACTCCAGCAGAACATCTGGATCGGAATCCACCGATCTGGTCCGATTTTCTTTGAGATCAATTGGGATGGAAGTTCCGCAAACAGGAAAATGAGGTAGAAGATTGTTTGGCCGGTGTTGTAGTCATTCGTGTTCATGCCCAAATCACCCAGCATATTATCAGACATCGCCTGAACGATATTGCCTCGGTCGAGTTGTAGTGCGAAAAAGGTAACGCATGCGAATGTACAGACTCGTAGATCGATCTGTTGTTGTTATCAGCCTGAGCTAACCCAAACATGAGACCGACCCGGTAATACCTTTCTTATGAGCTTTTTCTCCTCCTGCTCTTCCCATTCAAAGTCTGGATCCCAACGATGTATACCTTCATAGTCGTCGATCGGCTTGTAATATCTCGGGTCTTCGGTGGTATCAAAAGCGCCCTCACTTATATCCCTGACCCGCTTGGGCGCAGCGACAGGTAGTGTCTCGGAAGATGACCCTGCTGAGACTTGTTTCGAGTCGTCTTTTACAGGCTCAACATTGGCAGTCGCCTCTTTGTAGTCGTCGGAAGCCATTTTGCCAGTATAATCAGATGCAGCGATTATCCGACAGACTCAATGATGGGAATGGATGAGCTGTTTAAGCTACAAGGGCATCATATGCCATTAATAAATATTGTCTCGTAGCTATCGCTAGTCGAGGTAGTGGTGATTCTATCACGCCATCGCAATTTTGTGCTTAAGGCTGAAGCTAGTTGAGACTACGCGACGACCACGCATCGTAGGCAGTTATCCAGAGCCAATTAGGACATGTAAACGCAGTGTCTAAGAAGTTATCCAACCGTTCGATATCTCTTGCCGATGGAGCTGCGATAAAAATGCTGCAGATCGCGGCGAACATCCGCATGGCTGCGAAGCAGCTAATAGCGCCATTATCTGATAAAGCTTTGGTAAGTTAAGAAAGCCGAAGCAATTCTTGATTGTATTGGACCAATCATCTAAGACCCATAAGCGGATATGTTGTGGACACCATCACGCAAATCGAACAACATTGACGTTATGAAGGGCGAGTCATGACAACGGAAAGAAGCAGGGGTGTCATCTAGCGTTTGACCTGGACTGGTTAGCTAGCAGCAATTGCCGACATTCATATGTTTTGCCACAGAGTCCATGTTAGTAGCAAAGGGAAGCTGGTCCGCTGCCTTCTCTGCAACGCAAAGGAGGGCCAATTTCATCATCGTACTGGCTTATGGTGGCATATTTCGCCATCACCATTGCAACATTAGGGCGAACCCTGATTGGAGGCTTGTGCACTATGCTAGGACAAGCTGCATGATATGTTCATTCTCAAGGATTGGTGTCTCTGACTCTTATCCCTTTCACATACCGAGGGTGAAGTGTTTTGCGATTTTCCTTTCTGAGGCTCACACATGCGAAAAGCGAATGGTTGCGGGAGGCAATCGTTGTAACCGCAGTAGATTCCATGCCGAGTGGCTCCTTCAATGACCCTCTATCTAGGTAAATGGAGGAGGCCCACTTTAGTGTGCTTCGTGGATTAAATTCAGCAGCGGAGTATGGCTAGATTGTAGCTTAGGGTTGCGCGAATGGGTCGTGCTAGCACGTCATACTTGGCCCGCAGTTGCAACAACAACAACGGCCGCGTATCACCTTAGATAGTAAAAGAATCGACCATGTTCTACTTGTCGTCAGCCCGAGTATTTCGGTTTTCTATCTACCCACGAAAATGAGACAAAAGTATGTCTCCTTGATCGGTTCGAATCCAGAACTTAGCACGGGACAAAACAGCCGACAAAAGCTTTGCGACGCCGAGTCAGCGTACAATGGATAGGCTTTCACTCCGCAAATCCTGTCTCATCACGCAATCAGATTGCTTTGTGATTCACCAGTCGTCTTCTTAGCATTGTTTTGTACTTGGCTTGTTCTGGCAGCCATCCCCAGTAACCCCGCGCGATGCATAAAACTCCTTGCAAGATGTACTCTTGAACAGGGCGTGATATTGAACATACCCCGCAAATATTGCACAATCATCGGCCATCAGACGGATAATCGGATCCGACACGGGCGGTTATATGTGATGTGACGGATATATTTAGGAGATAGCCCCTAGCGTTAGACCAATGCCTGTTAGAACAGAAGACAAATTGAAAGAGCATCAACTTTCACGCAAATCTACAAAGATGGCCCCATCTATAACCGAGACCGTCTCACTTCACTCAGCACCAAAGGCCTCTCTTAGAACCGATGCTGGTTACAATAAGGAGAATGGGGTAGGATACCGTGAAACTTATCAACATGACAATGAGATCAAAGGAACCGCAAAACAGCCGCCGGCATCGTTCCCGAACTATCTCCCCGTCTGGGATAACGAAACAGAGAAGTACAGGATTCTGATATTGCACCATGTTTAATAGCTTGGGCATAGTAGCTCACCACTCGATAGATACCCACCACTTCAACCCTTTGAGCACTATGACCATGGAAAGGATGCCGACCCAACTTTCCCAGATCTCTTTCCTGAGGGCAAGGGCGAGGTGGAGGAGCTTACCCCAACCATTGGTAGCGAAGTTCACGGTATCCAACTGAGTCAGTTGACCGATAAGGGTAAAGACCAGCTGGCTTTGTACATCGCCCAAAGGAAAGTTGTCGGTATGTCATAGCATATAAAGACGTATGTTCTTATCACACTCACTGAGGGGGGTTTCCAGCTTTCCGAGACCAGGACTTCGCTCAGCTCCCCATCGAGAAAGCCCTTGAGTTCGGTGGTTATTTCGGTAGACATCACATTCATCAGAGCTCTGGAGCACCTAAGGGCTTCCCCGAGATTCATCTCGTTCACCGTGGAGCAGACGATAGGAGCGGAGCTGAATTCCTGGAAACTCACACCAACTCGCTTACTTGGCACTCTGATGTTACCTTCGAGAAACAGCCTCCTGGCACTACATTCCTGTACTTGTTGGATGGCCCGACAAGCGGCGGAGATACTCTATTCTGTAACATGGCCCAGGCTTATAGACGATTGTCACCCGAGTTCCGCAAGCGATTGCATGGCCTGAAGGCTGTTCACTCTGGTGTCGAACAGGTCAACAACAGTTTGAACAAGGGTGGTATTGCACGACGCGACCCAATTACCACCGAGCATCCGGTTGTGAGGACACATCCCGTCACTGGAGAGAAAGCTCTTTTCGTGAACCCACAATGTGAGTCCTCTTTTGAAACAGTGTAGCCGTTACTGGGTTTCTAACAACAATTAGTTACCCGATACATCGTAGGATACAAGAAAGAAGAGTCGGACTTCCTCCTCAAATTCTTATATGATCATATTGCCTTGTCCCAAGATATTCAGACTCGAGTAAGGTGGCGGCCGAATACTGTAGTTGTTTGGGATGTAAGTATACATATGACCGTTTGTAGGTAAGGGGTATTAATTGCTTTCTAGAACCGAGTTGCTGCACACAGTGCCATTTTCGACTGGGAGGATGGTCAGAGGCGCCATCTCGCAAGAATCACGCCACAGGCGGAAAGACCGCACGAAACGCCATTCGAAGGGTAGATGCCTGTGCTTTTGCTTATATTTCAGGTTACCGCATTAGGAATACGAATATGATATCGAGACATATGATGTTATACATAGAGACGATCTATGTTGACGAACAAGAATCGATTATTGGCACCCTGGTATCCGTTGCCTTCACAGCAGAGACACTTTCTAGTAACATTAGAAGCAGCAAGTCTCACAGCCCACACGCATGAGCTCTTAGAGAACGTAGAACAATTTGCCAATTTTTTCAAGGATTGCCGGTCTCGGTTTGTAAACCGTTTAGATTTTCCAGGGCTTGGCGTATGATTGATACTAAACTTGTTCCCTTCACCTTTGAAGTTTGTTGCAGCTGTTCTTCCAAGAGTTGCCGAGGACGATGGTCTTAGCCGGCCAAGGCGATATACATGTAGACCGGGATGGTATGCTTCACGAGGTCTATAGTGGATTTTCATCAGAAGCATTAGGAGGATTTATCAAAATTGCTGAAAGTGCTAAACGAGAACGCAGCGATGGCTCCTCGGGGAGTTCAACGTTCGCCAATTCGAGACCCATGGTGCCGTCAAGTTGTTGGCAGTCTTCCCAGACTTGATGGCGCTTGAAGTGTGGGAGTGAACAGGATGTTCTACTTCCGTATGTTCTGCTGACACATCCTCCAAGTGTCCCCAGGTGATATCGCCCTTACCACTAAGGCTAGTTGCTGTCAGAAGTTGTGGTTCTCGGCTGTCAGTCGTCATTTGAAGAGCGAGTACTGGCAGAAGGTCAAGGCCAAATATGATTTGGTACGAGTGTCGAGAATGAGCCCATGGGTTGTTGAATGCAAGGTTGCGTAATGATCTTTTTTCTAAAGAGATACATTAGAGGTTAAGCCAGTGAGGGAATGAATCGATGGATGAATACCAAAGTGACAGTGCCAAGAGATCAACGGAATGTAGAGTATGGAGTAGAAGGAAGTCAATTCGCCCTGGAAATGGGAATGGGAATGTGGTCCAGTGACATCGGCCTGCATTCCCAAAGAGGAATAAGGTACCTGACGATGTTTTGTCGACAAACGAAACATACCAACTCACTTCACAACTATCTCTTCTCAAACATTCTTTGTCCGGTCATGCCGATGCATGATGCCAACCTTCCATCCTCGAAACTCCCTTGCTGACTTTGGTAGCATCCTATTCCTACTTATCAAGGTTTCTGAGATAGCAGAGAAGACACCGGGTGGCAGTCGAAGTTCCTCCAGGGACAAAGATGACGCCTTGCCACGATCCGGATGAAGCATCCCATCCACATCGATAACATCCTGGAAAAGGATTTTCATGGCCCGCTGCGCAGTTATACTATGATCCGAGCTAGAATTCGAATATCGCATGTCCGGATTGAAGACCCAGATCTATATGCCAAGGAGTCACAAACATATATAAAAAATGAAACGAGACTGAAAGTCAACGGATCAACTTACTAGTAGCCCATCCCCTCGTCCGCAGTGGAGAACAAATCGTCGAGCACTTTCTCTTTCAATCAACTCTAACAATTGTGCTGCTACAACCACCTCTAAAGGATGGCTTTCCCATCCTAGGCTCTTGCAATCACCTTCCGACAGCTGCTTGCTTGCAGATAAGCTTGTTTTGAATAGTCGCCATCCTTTAGCAACTGTATCTTCAACACCCACTAGGCTATTGCAATTCTTGCAAAGCAACTCCATCTGTGCTTCTGTTGAAGAGGCTGTTGTACTGTTTGTCTCAACCTAATAGAGTATATTTATCAGCAATCTGATGCTATGCAAGCTGCATATCTAGAAAACGGTGTGGCATGATTAAGAAGCGTATATGAAGATCAGCCATTTTTGTATTTGTGAAGTACTATAATTTACTATCTGTTTCTTAATCATCAAATGATGATTCAGGGTAAAGTCATCCAACCTATTTCCAGAGTTCTTTCCCATATGTACCTCGTTATAATCACGTCGATCCCATGACTTTGGGTGAGCAGACTGAATCAACGGAGAAATGCAGCGAGGCGAAATCTTGATCTCGAGCCAATCACGTTGAAGACCAAACGGCAACCACGGCGAAGTGCGAAATCCATCACGGAGAAGATAACTGCACCGGGCCGTGATGCCATTCAAACTCTATAACAGATGTCTGACTGAAATAGAAACCAAGACGCACTAGTTGTAGGGCAATTGTATCGAAGACCAAAGCATTATTATGAAATGGCCTCCTTCTTTTTTTGCCCAGGTCATGCATTGAGGTAGGGTTGAAGTATAAAGACCTAGGGATGGTATGCAAGAGGTACAACAAAGAACAATCTCAGATGAAAATCAACCGGAAGAAATATTCGTGCTTACCTGTTTCAAGCCTCTACTGTCGGAGTCTGTGAGCAGAAAAGTTGCGACGTCCACAAGAACAGTCCCTGCAGTTGCGACCACCTGATTCGCAGCACCGTATCCCTTAACTGTAGCATTCTGGTCTTCAGCTGTGGCACCATTAGCATGATGGCCATGGCCCTCATGGGGATCGGGCTTGTGGCAGTGCCAGAAATCCATCATCTCAGCCCAATTTCCACTAGGCAAATCCTTCCACATCCACCCCTGCATATCCTTTTCTCCAGCACCAGAACCGCACGGCACATACGAATCGAGGACAATATTCCTACAATGGCGACAACGAAGCTTAGAACAGGAAGTCATGTCGGTCGCGGTCCACGGTACAAAGCTATCCATATGTTCTTCTCTCGAGAGCAACGAATCATCTTCATCATCAATCTGCATTCTAAACGAGTATTCCTGCTGATCATGCCCACGGTTCCGAGGGTCCGTAGCTCGCTGTCCAGCTACGCTCAAGGCCAGCCGAGATGCTTCATTAACTCGGGCTGGCAACTTAATCGTATCTGTGGCATGGTCGTACGGCAATGGGAGAGATACTGTAATGGCACGGCGCGAATCGGATAGACAGATCTCTGGTCGAACATTCTGCGATCGTATCGCCTCTGGCAGCGATACGTAGAGAGTAATGTGGCGGATGTTAGGGAGAAGTTCGGCGTGTAGGTAGAGCGCAGTAGGCTCGTTTCGTTGCTGCACTGCAGACATTATATGAAAATGTATGCGAAGCTATGGTCTGGTTGAACTGTTAGCTGCCTTATTAGTATGGCCGTTATTTAAGTCAATTTATGGACGTAAGCTGTAAAAAGCGACTGTGGTCACGGATGTTGAGATATCATGGTCAAATTGCTCCAAAATTACTCCATTAAACAAGCTCTAAACGCGCATCACGTGTTATTGTCCATGATATTAATGCCTCAGGCATAACTGTAAGATCTACTGAGTACTTGACAAAAAAGTCAACGCCATGGAATGTAGGGATTTAAATGAAGCTTGTGATCAATATTATTTAATGAGTAGAATAGGGATTCATATCTGATTCTCAATCTGGGGTTAGTGATGGTTCTAACTCGAACTCACTGCTTTTCCAGATGTTATCTGTCACAAATTGATCAGAAAGGAAACATAACCGGACGTTTCCAATGTCCAAAAACTATGCTTATCGTACATTATGTCGCCAGTCACTAGGACATTAAAGTCAATTTGAGCGAAAACGACAAGAGCAAATTTGCCATTCATCAAACGAATCCTCCCCAACCATTGAACTCCTCACCGAACTTGACAGCCGCTTTTAGATAGTACTGTTCCGGGTCTCCCCATGTCGCAGCAGCTTCCTTACACGCACGGATTGCCTTGACGTAATGCGCATCTGTCGAATATTCGCCCTTGACGGCCTTTTGCGCCGTCCATTTCCAGTCTCTTCCCTTCAAGTCGTAGTCCTTAATCTGTTCGAGTTTTATTTCCGGTCTTAGTTGCGCAATGTATACGACCAGAGTCAGAAGCCACCACTGTCTAACAAGTGCATGTTGAAAGCGTGTTGGGGTAAGCGGTAGGAGAATACGGACAGCATGGCTGGTTGTCAACGTGTGGACGAGGAAAAAGTCATACTTGTCCGATGTTTGAGATTGAGTGGCGGTTAAAAGCGCCACGGCGAGCTCCTGGCTTTCGCGGAATTGTTTCACAGGATCTTCAATCTTCCACGCATTCCAGTGATTGAGGAGGGCGGCTTCATGGTGACGTAGAATCGTGTCCATGTTGTTATCCCCTGGGGTCCCGAAGAGGCCGTTGAACTGTTTGTCGGCTCGTACCTTCTTTAGAACGCCAAGTAGGGAGGTGGAGGAGTATAGAGACTCTGCCTGTGAATAAGAAGGATCGTCTATATACTTATGCATTTTCCCATAGCATGTAGCTGCAAGGGCAAGGGCTTCCATGGCGACTTCACGGCTAGACATCTCGAATGCATAGGCGAGGTGGATTAAAGGGTGACCAACTAAGCCATGTCAGCTTTATTGGACTGTCATTAATCTAACTGAGATCATCTTACGGTCATCAACAAGGGAATTGAACAACGGCTCCTTCCCAGAAAATAGATAATCTGCGAGGACTTGCTTCCAATCATATCCGTGACGGACAAGCTCGTCCTCGAAAAAGTCCACAAACGCTCTTTGGTATCTAGAACGGTGTTAAATACGTCTGTCTATTAAAGGCTAGCTCATACGTAAGCCTAGGGATGCAGTAAGGATACATACTCTCGATGGCCCAAGTAGTCTCTCCAGTCATAAGTACTGATTTCACCTGGAGAATCAACCCAGGGGTCCAAAAGCTTAGACTCGGCCTCGTAGACACGATTTAGGTCATCCGCATCTGCTCCTTGGAGGAAAGAAGAGCCCAGTATCTACATAAAGTCAACTCTGCTTTCAGTATGAAAGATATGATAGAGTATGGCTTACATGAGGCGCATGGTTATGGAACTTCCGCTCGTTGTACAGTACGGAGTAGTTGGCATGGTTCAGCTTCAACAAATGTTTCAAAGCCCGAGCCGGTTTCTCTTGTGCTGTATCGATCTCATGAATCCTGACTGGCGGGATATCAATAAATGTTCGATCGCGCCATGGCAAGAAGCTCTTTAAGGAAGGCAACGAGATAGATAACATGGCTATAACGGTTGAGTGAGTAGTATGGCTCCTGTGTGGAGCTCCTCAAGTTAGGTTCAGCTTTTAACGGTGCCTGCGTCCTTTTTAGATTGTTCAAGCGGTATTACAATATATTATACTAATATGAACCGCGTTGGATGCTGTCGTTCTGGCGATCCCAGCAAAATGTGGGGAAAGAAAGTTGTTGGGGCGAATTGGATGAGGCCTGGGTGGCCTGAGGGCCTTAGGTGACCGTGTGTGACGTCACCCGTTCATGTAAAACATATTTATACGCAAGTATACATTTCTTAAAGTTCTATGTTCCTTCGTGTAGGGTCATAATAAGCTAAGTACTAGTATATCCAGGCTTCTTAATCATTGTAACTTCATTTCCCATCGCTTTTGCCATGGGTTTCAGCGGTCCCAGTATGCGTGGGCACTTCTTCGATTACGCCTGCAAGGATATCCACATCAGCCCGTGGGCCAGTGAAGTTCTTGCGGCCATCAACAACCCATTGGAATGTCGAGATGACAAGAATAATACCAAAAGCAGCGACACAGTAGTCTAGTAACACGTATTCTGTCAGCAGTCCCTTCGACAATTAATTCAGACACAATCGGTGACACTCACTCATACTGCTACCGGTCGCAGGTAGCACTGGAGGGAAGAGGAATAGCACAGTCGTGAGGCTGATGTAGGCAAGAGCAATCTATAAGCAGTGTTAGCTAACGTCCCTACCTTGATTATTCTGGCCGGGCGTACTATGTTGGCGATCCAGCCTAAAGTATTGGGGAGAACAAATGAGCGTTCAGGCAGCATTGTGCGACCACGTAGGCAGTTTACTGCAATCGGAATACCGTATGCGATGTCAAGCATCACTACTGATGATGAGATAATAGCGTTGAACGCACTGCCCGGGTTAGTAAACATGTGGTGCTATGGTGCGTTTATGATGGGAAAACTAACCTCGAAGACCCGAGGAAAATAAGCCCGAAGACAGTGATAGTAGCAAAAGTCAGATATAAGGCGTTCAGTGGAACATTGAGCTTCGGATGAACCCTAGAAAAGAAGGGGGAAGCAGGAAGGCCGCCATCTCTGCCCATAGTCATCAGTTTTGCTTCACAAAAGGTATTACTCAGAGACAATTGTATTCACCTTGCAAAAGCGTAGATCATACGGCTACTGGTGGTCATGATACTGGTGGCTGCGAAAAGAATGCAAACAAGGGGGAACCTATGGGTTATCAATTAGTTATGTACTTGGCGCTGATAGCCAGAAGAGGGACAACGTACATCAGAAGACAGATTGAGCCGGCATTGTTTCCCGTTGCATCCTTGAAGATCTGCAGAAGACATCCTGCAGCAGAGTCGATGACTTTGTAGATGTCACCGGCAACAAAGAGGAGCACAATCAAAAAGATTGAACCCGTCACCGTACCGATACACACGCACCCTATCATAATCTTAGGGCCCACGACAGATGGATTGGGGATTTCTGTAACAAAGTCAAATCAGTAACGCAGCTTTACGCGCGTTATATATATTGCATACCTTCGATCATATGGGCAACCCCATCCTATACATTGATTAGTGACTGGATATAAATCTGAGCGAATGACGATAACTTACAAAGCCCGTAAGACCAAGTCCACCTTGGAGAAGCTACATACGAGTTAGAAATGCAATTCGTCAGCGAATCCACTGCACACAACGTACTCCAAGTAGCCAAGCAACGCCATCCGGCCCTACAGTCAATTAGTCTCGACCCAAAGACCAAACAGAGAGAGGAGGGGTAGGGGTGATAGGGGAAAATCAACATACATCCTGTTTCATTGATAAATTTTCCAAACACAAACCTAATTTGGTCAGTACACTAAATACGGAACCGGAATATGAATGTGAGCCTTACTCGCCCGAGTTGTAGTTGGGTGACGAGCATGCAAGAAGCGTTATCGAGACGATGGCAAATCCGGATAAGGACCAAATAACTTGAGTAGATTCAGCACTTTTATCCGCTTCAAAAAGGCATAGGGACACAGGTTTAACTTACAGGCACCTTTAGTGAAGTACGGAAGACCATTGTTCATGATGGCGTTGATGATGAATGCAGCAATATTATAGCCAGTATAAATCAAAAATTGATGCCAACGCTGTGCTTCAAAGGTCTAACGGGAATAGTCAGCGGGAGAGGTCAACCTAATGAAGTATGGGGTTGTAACCGGATGCATTAATGAGATTATGCCCAGAATCAACTCGCTGCCCAGCAGCCCACCGGTAGCGGTCAATGCAAGCTAGAACGATTAGCCCGGATTATTCCCAACATAAGTCGTGTCAACCTACCCAGCCAGAAACGTTGGCCCAGCCAGTGATCCATGAAAGTATGGGCATCCATCGTTCCCAAGAAACTTATGACGCTCAGCATATTGCATGGGGCTGAGTATAACGACGTTGAATACTTACTAACTGTTAGGCCATGTTGTTAGTCACGACTCAAGAAGAATTCCCACGAAGATGCCTAGCAGCAGCTTACCTGCAACCCAATGGTATTGTCCACCAGCCCTGTATTCACAGTCAGACAAGACAAGGGACGAGATGTATGACCGAGCTGTACTCACGTGGGATAAGCGGACAAGAACTCCGCAAGCGAAGTTGCTATACAAAGGTTACATACACCTGCCGTGATCAAGCCTGTAGAAAACTAAGTCAGTGGGGAGCTATATATAGCATTTTAATGGAACTAAGATATAGAAAAGAAGCAAGAGAGCATAAAGGAGGATCATCTTACCCCAGACTACGCTTACACAGCCTCCAGACGGTAGGCTAAGAGATAAGCTTGCCGATAGAGCGGTCCAAGACTGCAACCAGAATTAAAGTTAATTACTTTCCAAGGTCTCGTGGCTTGGTATGCCTTTTCCCAACGTGCCCCTGCAGCATTGATCATGAGGCGTCCAATGGCGGAGGGGCCTCTGCGTTGTGTCACATACATTTAGAATAGCAAAAGCCAGTCCTAACATAGACCTGAGTTAGGTACGCGAGAGAGTCAGTCTCGATTCGATCAAATAAGATGCTTAGAGATACTGGAACATACAAAAGTGAGAAATTCCGCTTCAACTCGGCCTTATGGCCCATGGCCGCCAACTGAGCGTCATCGTCCCCCCGTATGTCTTTCATGACAGACGTATCGGCCATTGCAAGATAGTTGTGCACGTTGTTAAAAAAAATAAGACAATTGACCAAAGACCTAACTAAAAAAGAGCCAGAATGGGAGAAAATACTATCAAAGGAGGTCGACTCAATTGGACGAGGTATTGGAAAGGAAGGGAAAGAGAAGGTGGAAAAGAGAATAGAACAACACACCACAGACACAACCCTCCACCATGAGGCACACTGATCCCTTTTCCCTGTTTCCTCCACCGGGGTCTGTCATTCTCGGGGATATAACCCAACACTCCCCCCAAACTCGGCCATCAAGCGTTCTGGGAAAAACGGGTCCACCGCGGATTGCGGGGGATAGTGGCGACAGGACCGCGGTTACCTAATGTGCATTGGGGTCAATCTTTACCCTTGATAACGCCATACTCCGGAGTAGCTCCGATAAGAAAAGCGTATAGAAGTCTATGGATGGAGCAGATCAGAGGTATATTTTATCGCGCAGCGCCATGATTCGCCATCATCGCCGAGCACCAGGCGCCGAAGGCCAGTGAGAACAAGTCAATTGGTGGATCAGCAGCGATTAAGGTATTAGGATATGGAACCCAAGCTTCGGTCCAGAGGAACCGCAGCCTTCCGTTGGCTATTCTTGGTCTGGTGTGGGAGCTTGTCTATTGTAATATCGAAATATAATGGAAAGATAGATTATCTTCAACAAAAAGAGAGATATTGATGTTATCGAAAGAGTTGAGTCATTTAATTCAACCGTTGATAAGGCTGTGTGGAGTTCATCAATATGTGCGTCTGATAATTGAATACATAATTCCCCGACCGTGCCTCAGGCCACGATTGTCACGGGATATGCAAAGAATCTTTCCGGGCATCATAGCCAGTTGTCTTCTTCATGCCGCTCAAATGTAACATTATATACACATTCCCAAGGCCTTGATTCATACCTATACACAACTAGTACCAACCCCGATCATATTTCCAATAAGGCCAAATGCGCCTGAGCATCAAAGCCTGTTCACTTCGAACTATCACCGTCGGCATGAACAAGATGGTCGGTCCGAACGATGTAGTCCTCATCGCCATTGGTAGCGCCATCTTCCTCACCAACATCATCGTAGTGGGAAATACTCTTGTCGGCCCTTGAGCCCGATGTCGGACCATCAAGAGAAGAATCAGAATCGTTGCTAGGAGCAGCGACGCTCTTATTCTTCAATTTCGCTCCGGCGCCAGCGGGGCTCTTGCCTTTCCCTTTACTGCTAGTCGAGTGATTACTCACGCTCCGCATGGTTTGCTGTCCATGTTTCCCTTTACCTTTGCCGCTGCCTGCAGGAAGGTAATCGCCATTCGTGACAGGTCCACCTATACTACCATTCAGTTGGTCTCCTAGTTCGAGTGCTTCAAGAGCATCTGCGATAGTTCGAGGTGGCTGCGCCGCAGAATTGCTGCCTGAATCTTGTTTCTTATCAACAGACTCGAATGTCTGTCGGATACGTTCGAAATGCTCCAACTCTTTGGCACTGCATACCGTTAGTATTCATCTGTTTCGAGAAAACCATAGCAAAACATATCAATACTACATACCTGACACTGGGGACAAGTTCGTTCTGTGCCTGAATGAAGTCCTCCTCTGCAACCGTAACCGTTACATCTTCCGGTGTGGCAAGGTGGTCAAAGAAGTAAGCAGTGGTGACGGGTTCTCCTGGCAGCTGTTTGATCTTCTCATCCACCGCTGTTGCCTTGCGAGTGATAGCCTTGAGCATAGCATCGGAACACAGGGCATACAAGTCAGCACCTGTGTACGTAAGAGGCAGCTGCTCCGCAACTCTGCGCAGTGATATCTCAGGTGCAAGAGCAAACTTTCTTGTAAGCGCTTCTAGAATCGTGGCTTGTTTCTCGTGTGTGTCGGACACTCCAAGGTAGAGCATCTTGTCGAAACGACCGGGACGTAGGAGTGCCGTGTCTAACAAATCCGGACGGTTTGTAGCGCCAATCACGAAGACACCGCCGCTGTTTTCCTCGCCACCATTCATACCATCTAGTTCGGCAAGCAGCTGACTGACGATACGGTCCATTACACCACCGCTATCTCCTTGGTTTCCACGCTTCGGAGCAACTGAGTCCAGTTCATCAAAGAACACAACACACGGGCGAGCATCCCGAGCGCGTTGAAAGACGCGCCTAACGTTCGCTTCGGATTCACCGATGTACATATTAAGTAACTCAGGCCCCTTGACGGAGAAGAAGTTCAAAGAGAACTCCGTGGCAATCGCCTTGGCGAGTAGAGTCTTTCCCGTACCTGGCGGTCCGTAGAATAAGATACCGCTGCGTTTCTTCATGCCTTTGGCGAACAGCTCAGGTCGCTCTAGGGGAAGTTGGATGGTTTCGATGAGAGCATCCTTGACGTTTGTCAAACCACCCACATCATCCCAGCTAACGTTCGGAATCTTTGGCGCGCCAATTGAATCAGCAAAATTCTTCCTTGCGGCATCAACAGCTGCGTCAAAGTCGGCCTTGGTAACACCTCGGGCTGCATCACCCCCGGAAACAAGAACGTCCCTGGTGTTAACTTTTGACTCCGAGTTTTCGCTTGCGGTTTCGGCTAATTTCTCCAGACGTGCAGCCCTCACGGAAGAAGCACGTTCAACAACGTCAACCAGATCTCCCGCAACTAAAGCAGCAGTTTTGAGCGCCACCGAGCCTAGATCTACATCAGGGGAGATCTTGATGCCTCGTTCAGAGACAGCATTATGAAGGATGCCTTCACGTTCTTTTTCCTCTGGTGCCATCATCTCAAATTCATGAGTAAACAAGCTGCGAATGCCCTCCGGGATTTGTTCGACATCTGTTGTCGTGGCCACTATGACCCTTGCATCAGCCACGATCTCATTCATTGCAGAAACGATCCTGTCCGCCGTTAAGACGTCAATATGCTTTATCAGAAGGGCTGTGCAGTTGGCTCCACAATGGAATGCACGATCCGCTCTAGCCTTCAGGTATGCTTCAGTTTTCACGTCACCACCGTTCGCTCCGCCTTCGGTTAATATATCGTAGGAGTCGATCGAGAAGGTGTGAAGACCAATATCTGCGCATGCTCGTGCTGCAAGCGTAGCCTTTCCTATGTGTCTTTGCTGGGATCTCAGCAGTATGACGACAGGTTTCATGCCGAGCTGGATGGCGCGGGGACTTGTAGCTACCGACATCAAGTCTCGGATGCGCTCTTGGAGAGGCGGTACATACGACTGCGGCGATTCAGTTACCAGACCATGAGGGGTTTGGACGTCGCCAGCAGTCTTCGGCACGGCCTTCACCCCAAGCCAGTACTCCCAGCCATTGTTCAGAGTACCCGGGACTCTGCTCACATCGCTTCCAGCCTGTACCATTCTAGTAGTAGCCGAATCAATGATAGCAACACCTCCCCACTGGTCTTCTCTCGCTTCATCTGGCTCATCCGACAAGCTAGGAAGCACTTGTCCAACGCGAAACCAAGCGACACCAACCTTTCTCGATCCGGCACGGTCAGAATCCACCACCTGGCCTAACCGGGTCGTAAGATCATCATCCGGAGCTGCCCCGTCGCTCGCAGCAGGTCCTGAGAATACAGCTCTACCAAGACCTTCATCAACGCTGATTCCCACGAGATCTCCACTTTTGAGAAGGCGCCGTTTGGACTCAAAATATTGTTTGAGCCCGGCAAACAAGGCCGGTTGAAGAGCGCGATCCATGGAGAGTGGGGTAGATACTTTGAGCAGAGTCACTTCCTTTGCCAAAGGTGGGTTTCTTGCCGAGCTTGCCTTCATCTGGTTCAGAAGCCCTGGTTTTGAACTCCCATTTCCTCCAATGAAATTCATCGGCGATATGCGAAGATATTTTGGGTTTTCCAAGTTGTTCAGGAGTAGAGGAGGAACAAAGACCGATGGTGTCAAACGCAGCGGAGGGCGTTGGGAGATGCTTGAGCGTCTCTCCCCTGACTGATTGATTGAATACCGGGGTTTGGCGGATGGCAGGCCGGGCAGACCATAGATTTTGACCGCGCGCCAATCACCAGCATCTTCATTCTGTTCATTGAAGCTTCCCAATTTTATGGAGGCGAATATATTGGATTGCGGCTCTTCTGTGGCCTCGATCCTCACCCAATCCCCAGAAAAGCAGCCTATCTTCGCAAGTGTATTGATATCTACAAATATAAACGACTCAGAGTCATCTTCTTCCCGCGGCCTAGGATGTAAGAGTTCATTGGGTATGCCACGCAGTAGACCCTCTGCCTTAAAGACCTTGCCACCGCCAACTCGTCCGGGACGCATGGTTGACGAAGTAAAGTTTGAGGCTACGGAACCTGGAGTATGAATGCCGTCGGCCCGTCGGCCTCCTGCACGTGGGGTTGCAGCAGTCATCGCGGACATGACGCCGGATTGAGGCAGTTCAGGGGCAGAAAGGGAGATCATGTCATCCAACGAATCATCCGATGTGTCACTCATGTTCCCTCCAGAACCTTCCGTCTCCGATTCATCGGCGGTAGAGGTACTTTCCACCTCCGTGTTGCTCTCTGCGGCCTTCTCTTCGGCAGCCGAGTAAAATTGCTCATTGGAGGTATCATCAGCCTCATCTTCGGCTACCTGCTTGAGTAAGCCTGAGCCTGACCTCAAACTTCGCTGGGTCCGAGGGCCATGTGGCCGCGCTTGAACCAGGACAATTTTGGTCGTCGGCATCAGCAGGCCTTGGGAAACGGGTTCGCAGAACGAGATTTGCGCCGGGGGTGGTGGCGCATATGTTATGGGGTGTGGTGGTAAGGGAAGCGGTAGCACATCGCCAGTATGCACCACCTGCTGTGCTCCCAGGGCCTCGCGTACCGCTGCAGTAAGCCTTTCTTCAGCCTCGGCCGCAGCCTTTTTAGAATACCTTTTGGTGTCCAATCCCTTCCCCGCCTTCGCCCAAAGTCCATTGGGTCCATGTAAGCTGTTAGTGAACCCACCAGCAAACTTATTCTGAATATCATCATGGTTCCGAAGCAGGTTTCGCTCCACTGTGACATAAATCGTATCTAGGCGCAAAGGAACAACATCCAGAACCCTTATCTCGACAGATCGCTGGGATTGGAGTGAATGCCGTGTGGGATCGAGCTTGCTCAGGGCCTGCATGAATGGCTGCAATGAATCTGCAGAATCGGGGAAAGCAATGGTCGAATGAGGAAGCGGAGATCCGTGAGGGTGGCTTTTAGACTGTGGCCGAACGGGAATGATAGTCCAAGCAAGATCCTCGACGGAGCTATAACCCGGAACGTATGGTGAGATAGCGACATGGCGGACTTCGCTACCTTCCTGCCCTTCGTCTACAACCGAGCGCAGAGGGGAAAAGTCAGACAAGTTACTTAGATAGTTCAATCTTGCTTACCGGTGGAGGACAATTGAAAGAAGTCGCTTGCCAGATCATCGGACAGGACACCGACATTTCCACGTAGCTGGTGGTCTAAGGTAAACCTCGCGGAGATAGGAGCTCTATTGCGCAGACACCTCCGACCGACGTTTCGCCTCCGTCGTCTCGTCTGGTCAGGATTCAAGTCACGGCGCTCGAGATCCATGTTGGGGGAGTGTAGAGTGTCCAGTCAATTACCGTCGGCCGGCAGGTAGATGTCGAGTTTGAAGCAAGAGAAGATTGACTGGGAGAAAACAAGTCAAATCAACCAGTCATATCCATCAGCCAATTATCCTGGGCAAGAATCGCATTAACAAACGTCCTAGGGAGTGGTATAATTCACCGATCACCTCCAGGCAAGTGATCTTGGAGAAAGTCCGGGGGAACCGGTTGCCGGACTCTCGGCACCGCCCGCACTTTCTGCCCATTTCCGAAGCCGAGGTCCAATACCACTTGCTTCACGAGATTTGATCACTAGTCTCTATTGGGTAGTACTATCCATACTCAGCTGGACTGCACTACACCAGATACAGAGTGTGTAAGGACTGCTCATATCCCCGCTCTCAATGAATTTGAGGATACGTCGTAGGCTAAGAGGGACTGCAATCAGTCCGTCGGGTAGCACAGCTCATACTGTATAGTCGTCTTTCTATGTAGGGCTCAACAGATGTTACTCACAGCACCGCGTAAAAGAAATGGGCCCCCGATTTGTTAATAAGCAACCCATGTGATTCTGTAGCGATCTATAGGCCATCAAGCTTCAACGCGGAGACAAATTGCCCACGAAACTAACTCTACCATTACTCAACTATATATAGCTGTGCCTTGATCTCTAGAAAGCATGCGGGGTGTCTATGCATGAATTTCTCCCTCCTGAGTGGTATCTCAGCGACATGGCGCCCTAGGGTAAAGGTGTTTCAGCTTATCAAGAAGCGGATTTTAGATAGCCAGAAGCGCTTTTCATTATTTTGACAATGAATTCAGAGTATCATCAATGTATATATCGTCCGAACTATTGAGTCTGAACAGAGGATGCATTGGAACTCAAGAAATCCGAGAGTGGTATTCCAGGATCGATTGAGTATGGCTATGAGTCAGCGCTGGACCATGGGAAATGACTGACTCAGAGTCCGATTGGAGCATTCGTATCTGTCGTGATAGATAGTGATCTAGGGCTCTTTTCTACTGTGAGCCCTGGGACACCACAGAAGAGACGTATGATGGAAAGCTTTCAATCGACAGTTCCAATTACTACCAGATACCCATAGGTTGATTCGACGACTTACGAGCGCAGTCGCACCTTATCTAAAATGTAAACCACTGTGTCAGCAGTTGAAGACAACTCGGAATCTATACGACGAGCGTATCTTTCATGTGTGGTTGAATAGGCCTAGATTCTCCGTGATAGGTACCCAGTCATGGTTCCAAATGCCCACTGACCGTGTATGCGTCATGAAAGCAGGGTTAGACGTGAAGACGGTGTTAGAGGAACCAGACCCCGGATGGAAGTGAGCGGCACAGCTGATGTGTCCTAAGACACACCTGCTCGAACACGCTGCTCTTGAACAAAACGAATGCGCCATGTAAGGACCGAACGGCGCATGAATGAGACCTCACCATGTGTTCAACTGAGACCGTACGTAGTGGTCCCAGGGTCGCTAAGGCGTTCCCACTGAAAGCTTCGTCGCAGAGCTTCTTATCAACACAGACGGATTCCGCATGGGGGCAGTTAAACACAGCTTTCTTTCTGCACACGAAGCTTAGGGTGCCTTAAGTGAAGCATCGATGAATGAATACAGATCGACAAAGTCAGACCCATGCTTTGGAAGCAGTCGTTTGTTGTCAGGTCAGAAGTAGTTCGCTTGAGAATCTTGCAGTGCATTTTAGGCTATCAAATTCCGAAGTTCTATCCAGGGCCTAATTTACCTAGATGAATGACAGCTGCGTCATACCTTCACCCCGCAATGACTTGAGAATTGTTATGGACGTGCTTGTTAGGCTAGATGCTACCAGAGAACTAAGCATTTCAGGAAATTTGCTTCTCTGAGAATCTTGCTACCTAAGGTGGGATTCGCCGAGACCAGTCGTGATCACCGACTTACGCAAGACACGGGGGTATCAAGGCACCCATATTTCTGCACTCATCCATATCTATGGTACAGACCGTAAACGGTCAGGATAATATACCTCAGGCAGCAATGAAAGAGTGTAGAATGACGAAAAGTAAGATCTAACTAATAGCGGAATAGTCCGTAGGTGTGTGTGTGTGTGTGTGTGTGTGTGTGTGTGTGTGTGTGTGTGTGTGTGTGTGTGTGTGTGTCCGTGTGTGCGAGAGGTTGTCAGTGCATCATCCTCCGTATGCCCCGGGAGGTTAATCCGGAGAATAGGTAGGTACTTACATCCTACGAGTCGAACTTCCATCTTGTCGGACATCACCCTGGAAAAGGACAGATCACCAATTTATTGGTGGATAAGGGCTCTTATCGCTCTCAGTGTTTGGCCTTGGGAGAGTATGTACAAGGCTAATGGAAGTGGGGCTCTGACTGTACTTCCTACCAGGTTGGAGTAAATCCCGCAAACAAAAACAGAAGGGGAGGCGAAGAAAGAGAGGCCAAAAAAAAAAAAAAAAAAAAAGGCAAGGTAGAGAAATACCCTGACAGTAAGCCAGCAGTCACCGACACTTGGACTCTGCCTGAGTCACGTAATTGGTTGTCGTTTGATTTCCAGCGGTCGGAGAAATGACTAGGGAAAAGCAGTGCAGCGGCTCATCGTCATGAGGCTCATGTACTCCCATCGGTATGTACATACAGTACTAAGATTGAGGTGGAGGTTGTGGCTACGAGGCCAATGCTCACTGGCCCAAGATGCAAAAGATATCAGTAAGGTTAGGAGTATCTTGAACATAGGTGGATGAGAATGAGGTCTAGTAAGGAATGTCGTGTACATGCAGGTTCTTTGACCCTACGAGCGACATGCCACATTCAGAACAGGCCCTTGCCAAAGCGAGCCAATACAATTGCTTACTTCAAGTTCCGGCTGGTAGGAGTTCTGTAGCAACATCATATGACGAGGACGACGATGATGATGATGGCAGTGATGCGCCGGTGGAACTCTAAATATTTTGACTCAAAGCGTTCGCAATCCTGAGGTTACCATCCTGTAACACTACATGGAGAATACCCCTAGTGTATGTAAAAAGAAAAGAAGAAAATAAAAAGAGAAAAGAGAGAGAGAGAGAGAGACTTAAAGCCAAACTCAGAAATTTTTCTTTTCTTTTCTTTTCTTTTTTTTTTTTTTTTTCTTTGCCCCTATTTAGTAGTTCAGGGAGATTCCGAGGTCGGGTTCTGCGGGGACCAGAAAAGGAAAAGGGTTCAAGTCCAGGAGTCTAGCCGTATTGGTGGCTATTTTCGGAACGGCTCTTCCATGAGGGAAGAACATAATCTGGGGGCCAAGTGGGATGTTTTACTGGTACAGGGTGAAAAACTCAACAAACCCTCTATTGGCATACATTAAAAAAAAAAAAAAAAAAAAAGTGGGACTTTAAGGACGCGGAGAAAGAGAGATAACGGTTTCCGATCCATTCTCAATTAAAAAATGGGAATGGATAATTGAGACGGCAGTAAAAAAACCCAGGCTTAAGTCATTGGAGATTGCGTTGTTACGGGTACGCTGGTGTATTGGGAGTAGCCGCTGAACGATGGGCTTACGGCCGAAGATCCCTGGCCAGTGGGGTGGTAAGGCCACGAGTATCCAATGATAGTAAGAAAGACCCACCAGGACTTTTCCAATTGTGGCTTAGATCCCCTCGTCTATCAGGCAGACATCCAAGACGACTCAGCCTCCATCGTTGTCTTTCATCTTCCAGACATATCATCGAATGTCTATCTCCATCGTCTCCTTCAAAGTCCCATATCTACAAGGCTTCAATCCCTCCGACCTCCTGCTGCCTTTTTTCAAAACTTGACCCTCTCTCAAAGTCATTACTATACACCAACCGCTAAGGGCGCTGTCAGACAGCTTCCGCTCCACGGGGCGCCTATCCCCCTTTTGTAATTGTCGATTCGAATGACCGTTTATCGCTCTATACCCACTACCTCACTTTGGCGTCATAACAGTACCAAGAATAGTAAGAACCGCTCCTCAACTACAACTACTTTTCTTTTTTTTTGTTATTCTTTTTCTTCTTTTATTGCGCCTTTTCGTACTTTGCTACAGGTGGTATACTATAGAATGGCTACTTACCAATGGACCGCTAGACCCTAGATATCGACGGCTATTGTTGTGAGCGTCTCTTCAACCATGTCTTCCGCTCAGCCTGTCGACGAATCAGACCGGCGTCATCCTCGACGTCGAGTACTTAATCGTCCCCCTCCCTCGCTCTCGAGTGACTCGTCACCCCATTCACTACCGTCAAATTTGCGCTTGGTTAAAGGAGAAACTTTCCACTCTTCCAACCGACCTCGGTCCGATCGTGATCCAATATTAGATTTAAAGCTGTTACCGCGCCGCTCTCCTACATGTCCTAAGGCCTTGGAGGCTATAGCTGCCGGCCAGCGGCGTATGGCCCATATTCTCAACCGCTTCGATCTTGACTCTCTTTCAAAGCACGACTCATCGGAACCCCAAGACGAGCTCCCTGTTCCCCGAGGTATCTTGAGGACACACGTTAAATCCCGTGCTTCTACAGGGGATTCTACTAAGCAACCCGAACCTACTCCACAGGAGCCCAAGGAGTCCCGCAAGAAGATTCGAAGGGTGAATCACCATACATCCGACAGTGGCCTGGGCAGTTCTATTGGCAGCATCGAAACTATGTCATCTACTAAAGGCAACGGTACGTACTTGGTGACAAGTCAATTCTTTGTCCGCTATGGGCTAATTCCCTGATAGTGACAGCTGGCCAAGTGTGCCAAGCTAGCGTTGGACACAAACTGTCTGCTGCTGCCCGCGTTGAGATACAGGGCCGTATTCTTTTCCCCCTGCTTATGAAGGACAAATTCCAGCTATTCCACCCTCTTGTCCGATGCGCCCATCAGCAAATCGAGAAAGACCAGCTCAAGTGTCTGCGTGATGTTGAGAAAACCCTTCTCTTTTCCACTCCTGTGAGTTGACCGCCATAGTATATCGTTGAGCATCGCTTATATCGCCTATAGGACGTGAAGGCACCTACTGCAGCCTGGTACTCCTTTTGCCGATTCACGATTCACTGCCTTCACGAGACTTCTGGCTACCTTCGGGGCAGGGATTTGGCCTTGCCCAACGATGTGCCATACTCGAACAACTACTTCCTCGACCTTATCACCCAGATCAACCGCTTCGCCAGGATTCGAGACGCAACCCGGTCCCGACAGGACTCTGCAACCAACGGCGAGAAAGCCAATAAATCCATGTATGCTCATGTCCTTGGTTTCTGGAAGATGATGGCTGATTTCAATCATAGTGAGCCCCGTCTCACCCTAGAGGGCGGCATGTCCGAAACTGGACGGCCTGCGGAGCTTGTCATGCACAAGGATGGCAAGTCCATCTCCTTGCAGACAGGAAAGCCGTACGACGAGCACGCCATCCCAACCTTCAAGCGTACCTTTAGTGTTGAAACGGTTGATGAGGGAGTTGAACGGTCCATGGCCCGCCGCAAGAAGAATGCTCCCCCGATGGATATCAACCAGAAGTGCCAGTTCTGCGACAAAGTCTTGAAGCGACCATGTGATCTTACGTGAGTGCTACACTCTCTCTCATCCAATATGTACATGCTAATAAATAGCAGTAAACACGAGAAGACCCACTCGCGTCCTTACAAGTGCCCTGAAAGGGGATGCAAGTATTCCGAATTGGGCTTCCCGACCGAGAAGGAGACGGAGCGTCATTACAATGACAAGCACTGCAAGAACCCCCGGTTATTCAGATGCCATCAGCCTGGCTGCACCTACGCATCGAAGAGGGAGAGCAATTGCAAGCAGCACATGGAGAAGACGCACGGCTGGGTGTATGAACGGACGAAGAACAACGGCAAGAATAAGCCTGTCAAGCAAGGATCCGCTCAGCCCACTCCCCAGACCAGCGGTATCCCATCTCCTGCTGCCTCCAACCCGACAGGTGATTTTTCTACACCCACGACAGGCCCCACTGTCTCCCCTAGTGAGCCTCCTATTGCCTTCCCTGAGGCAATACCGTTCTCATTCGCCGACCCACCTGTTCCAACCCAGACTGAGGACTTCCAACTATTCTCGAACAGCCCCACTTCGCTTGGCGGTTCTCCCTACCATAATATGAATGATACCCAGGGGTTCCCATCTGGCGCAAACTTCGACTTGAACCAGCCCCAAGTGCCTGGTATTGGAAGTCCTGCCTCCGGATCGAGCGAGTTTCTCACACCACATTCTGGAAGCACTCACTCACCTTTTGACCCTATCAATCCTTTCCCCGACAACTCGATGTTCTCATTTGAGCCGTACATGCAGCCTAAAACCGAGGAGAGCTTGTTGTTTGTGAGCGGCGGATTTGGCGATGTCCCTAGTATGTTCGAGCAGAATCCCATGGATTTTCTGACCGACCCAATGTACAACTCAACCTTCATGGGCTACGAGACTGTCCAGCCGCAGCTTGAGGCCAATCCAAATGCGCAGTTTGGACTGGATGGTTGGGATGATTTCATGTGCAAACCCGACCAACCTTCCATGTAGAGTGGAAGACCAGGACTATAGTCCCGTTGTTGATGCAATGCTGTCTTATGGTTTAAGGCCTTTCGCTTTTGTTTTAAAAAATATGTGCAATACGCATGGTGTTTGGATAGGGGCCTCGTGTATTAACGGCTTTACGGCGGATTAACGGTGTTCGAATCAGCAAGAACTTGGTATCATTGGCATTGGAAGCTTTCATCACTATTTTTCAAGAAACACATATTCTATTCAGAGCAACATCTTTTTGCTGTTGACATTCTTTTGTATCATGGACATCGAAAGCCGCATGTCACTATTTTAAGGACACAATCACTATTTTCCAGAACGTCCGTCTAATGTTTGGACGACAAATTGCTAGATATCTACACTCTTGTCTTGGCTAGGAATTCCATATTATCGTCTAAGATCATTCGTCATTCATCCTTATCCCTCGTAGTCCGTAGTCAGTGCAGACAGAGAGAAGGTATTCACGGAGTGGTGGTACACATGAAGGTAAGGATATTGATTTAGTATAGTCGCTCTCTTTGTATTTTAATAATTCCCTCTGTGGAGTGTTGCACAATGCATGTCTCCGTCGCCTTTACCTTCAGCACTATCTATCCCTGACTTGCTGTCTGCTTAAACACTTGCCCCCAGACAGGTCTGGTTCCGATATCCATGTCCACAGCTAGGACATTCGAGTATGCAGTTCGCCTCTCAGGATCGAGATTCATGACCGAGCCGGTGGACAATGGATATGTGCACCGTCACAGTTTAAGGGTATACCAAACTGGGCAATCTTGGACTGTGGAAATAAAGGGCCATCTGTGAGGAAATTCAGTCCACAGAAGGACCAGAACAACCCAAATCAATTAAATCCGCAGTACTATCTTCGCCGTTCTTCGAGTAATGGAAACAGGAATAGAAAGTCAAGCAGTAAAGAACAAACCAATCGCCCCCGTTTGACTACTGCTCAGGAGTTCAGGTCAAGCTGTCCAAGGAGAGCTCAGGGCGTGCCCAAGCCTTCAACTTGTTCAACAAAAAGGAAAAAAATTCGTATGCATAGGTGCTTCAAAAGATTAGAACACCTTTATACAACGTCAAATACAGTAAACTTCATGCTTCATAATATTTTATGTTACAAGATTGAAAACAAGTCATCTACCGATATTTTTCGTAGAATCCTGCCTCCTCCATTCGCTCCTTGACCCTCTGGATCGTTTTCTCGTCATATAAGTCTTCCGGTTTCTTCTCGCCCAGGAGAACTTCCTTCTCGTGTTTGGCACTTTCCTCCTTAGTCATACACACAAGGTCCTTCAGCTCAAACGGAAGGAATTTCTGTCCTTGTTTCTCCCACTCAGGGTCAGGCACAAAGCCGCGAGCGGGTCGCTCCCATGGAACGAGGATAAGTCGGCCAGGAAGGCCGGTGATAGCACTCTTTCCTCGCCAGATTTCGTCCACAAGGAAAACGACGTCGTCCTTGGTAATTGGAAGACGAAGGCCAATGATATGTTGACCAACCTCAACTCTAACCAACCGCTCCATGAAACCCTGGGTAGCCGTCTGGACCGAGTCATATATTTTATCCTTGCCTTTTCTGGCAATGCTGTAGTCTCTTGGGTAACCTGCAATATCACAGATGACATGGTTTGCTACGGTGTATCCAAAAACTGCGGGCATGGTTCCAAGAACAGGTAGGATGCGTGCGCGGAAGTCTGGCAGAACGCTGAGCTCGCCAACCTGGCCCTTATTGAACTCTTCCTCTGCAAGTGGCAAGAGACTAGCCTTGCCTGGGCCAGGCTTCTCCGTTGAAAATACTACCGGAATACCAGTGCTTACTCCGAGGATCTTAAGACGTCGGCGAGTGCTGCGCGAGAGAGGATCGTCCGTGCTGGTCGAGATATCGCCCACTGTTACGCATGTAGGGTCGGACTTGCATCCTGCGCCCATTGAAGAAATCACGGGAATCGAGTGTGAATGACAGTAATGTAGCAGCTCGACCTTGGAGGTGATGTTATCAATACAGTCCAGCACGTAGTCTGGCTTTCGCCCTTTGTCACTATCGTCCATCGACCACGGAGCAAGTAAACCGTCGGCAACAGATCCGGTAAAGAGTTCGTTTCGGCAGTCAAACTTAGTCCATGGTGTAATTTGTTCCAACCGTTTGCGGATGCAGTGCACCTTCGGTGTACCGACGTCAGCAAGCGTCGCGAGAGCGTGTCGGTTTAGAGAGGATAATGTGACTTGGTCGAAATCAATCAGTCGTATCTTAGAGACACCCGACCGGGAAAGGGAAGCTGCAGCATGCGATCCGACACCTCCACATCCCACAACTATTATGAATGATGAACGAAGCTTCTCAAGACCCTCATCGGTGAGGAAGACACGATTACGGGCAAGTTGCTCAAGGATAAGCTCTAAGCACAAACGAGGGTTAGCTGACACGCTCAGATAATTCCTACGAGATATACGTATTTACCGTCGTCGTAGTCTCCCAACTGCGCCCTGCGCGCAAGCGCCGCACTGCGCTCATCTTCCTTGCTCAATTGTTGTACAGGGTCTGCGCCGCCGAATTTCGTAAGCTACAAGCAGCGTTAGCAGTGAAGAGCGTACCATGTATTGTGCAAAACAAAATACCTTCCCGGCAATATGTTTCTCATCGATACTCGGAATAGAGGCTTTCAATTCCTTGACGGCTTCTTTCCTTTTGAGCGCCTGATACCCAAAGATAGCTCCTGCAACAGCGGCCCCCGAGAGCACAGCCGTAGCGGCAAGCTGTGTCTGCTGGGAGCCAGCGTGCCGCTGTATCCACGAAGACATTCTAATAATCTATCTCTTGCACCCCTATGTGATTTCTAAGTTGAGCGCGGCGGACAAACGTCAATGAAGAGTTCAAACGATCTAGGACTTCGTCAGGCCAATGCACATAGATTTTAGGAATGAGTAGTTCTGGGGGAAAAAATTCTCTCAGGGATCAAGAATTGCTTACCATTGCGACTTCCAAGATCGAGTGTCTATGCCTCATACGTAATGTCATAGAATTTCTCGGAGTCTCGCCGGCGGCCACTATACTGTCACGTGCAGGCCCCCTCACAATTAGTTCTAGACAAAAACAGCTCTTATCCCTTCCCTTTCTCAGCAAGTTGGTTATCTTAATCTGGTCGGCAAACCAGGTAAGTGATGCACTTTTACTCTACTTCGAGTTCGCCCACTGACTCAAATGCGCACAGATCTTGAGAATGACTACTTTTCTTGATCCCGATGACGATAACCCTTCACTAGAGCTTTTCATGACACCTGCGTATCGCACGATACGAGGCGATGGACTTTATCCTTCACACCGTCGAATGGAAGAAGACATCATGCCGCAGCGTGGGTGATTGAGACAAGAACAGAGATCTAAGGGATTAAAAAAAGCAAGTCTCTCATACCTGTGGCGATGTCGCGTTGCGTTCATATAGTAGAACACGACATATCTTCCAAAGCTACTATCCGATTTTTTCAATGCTTAAAATCTAGAAGCTGGGCTGTGCTTACACACTTCTATCTCCGTTCTTGAAAAATCGTGATTGCTCAACTGCAGGCACTGAAAGGATTTTTTTTCGGTTTACTAACATCATCTCTGGAATTGTTCTCCTCGAGATTGCTCTCCTTTTGGCTTTGATTAACCCACCCCAGGCATAGCAGGTGCATATATCGTCACTCCTCTCGCACCGTATGATAGCCAGACACTCCAAGGCTCCTGGGTAGACTACTCCACATACAATATGGTCAAAGAGAGAAAAGCAAAAGACTCTTCTGACTGGCTCTTGACATAATTTACTTTCCCAGCTAGCAGACAGACGCCTTTTGTTCTCCTATATGTTTTTCCTTCCCCTTTTTCTTCCTTCAAGGCGTTCATAAGATCATGATTGCAAGCCCGGTGACGAGGTGAAACCAAAAGCCAAAGTTGTATGGTATCCGGCACATCCGTGTGCAAACACGGTTCACAACAGCCTGGAAACCGATGAGAACCAGAGAGCTAATCTGAGGGCCATCCACCAATCCAAGTTCTTTGTTTATGTTTTACTCTATTAGTAAGGAAGGCAGTTGAAGTCTATTGTTATCCTATCTCCATGAACTATCTTCAGGAAATTTCACTTTATCAACATCGATCATTCCAATTCATCTCGTTGCTGGCTCTAAGGATGATCTTTGGCTTGGTCATCTAAACGCCTCGGAGTTTAGGCCACAAGGATATAGAATGCAAAGTATAGTACAGAAAAAAACAAGCACGCATGGGAGGCAGATAGATCATTCACTCGCTAGTAAAACAAAAACCATAGTCAAGCTGCCTCTGCCAGTCGCGTAGAACGAAAGACGCTACGGGCCCAAAGCCAGATTACTACCTAGCCAACAAGATCCAATGTTCAGTGAATCATAGCCTGACGGAACTTCATCCATTGGATGTGCATAGAATTTCTCAAAAGGGTATAGGTATCTTGTGAACAGATAGATTGACACTTAATTGGAGTCTATAAACTTCTAACCGCTAGAGCCAAGCCAGAGTCCACAGCGCGGGCAAATTCGGCCACTTCTCCTGCCAGGCCGCAAGAATTTCCGGGACCTTCTCATCGAAACTCCTCCGAGCTTCACCGGTTCCGTTTTCCCAGCCTTCAGGATTATTCGCTTTGCGCTCCTGGACGGCAGCCTCGTTGAGCCGATTAGCTAATTCGAGAATGGCCTTTCCTCCGACCAGGGCTTCCTCGTGGTTATCTTTGATATCAACATTGAAAACATGGACGGGTCGGTTGAGGAGCGATCCTTTATTCATGAGATCGTCGACAACAGCATCCCAGCACCGCTCCTCACAGGTGATAATGACATCGACCACACCACCCTCGGTTCCCAAGGCGCCTTTGTCGCCTTTCGAGACATGGTCCACACGGGGCATGCCTGGGACCCAGTCTTGGAAGCGCTCCGGGCCCCATTTCAGGTTCCGGTTGCGTTCGAGCATGTTTAAAAGCCCGTTGTTACGATAGAGCCTCTCATCCTTGGAGAACAGTTCCTCGTACATTTGAGAATACGAAGTGGTATTGAAATTGTACACATTAGGTTGCGTAATAGATGGGCCTGGCAGACGGACCAGGGAGCCCGTCCCAAAAGAGATAACAGGGAAGGGGGACGGTGCAGTAGATAGACGGAGATGGGCTTCCATCGAACGGTTTTGGTTCGATGCGCACACCGTGCAAAATCTAAGTTTGTAAGAGTCTGACTGCTGCTCCTGAATGGGTGCGGCTGCAGTCCCATCTGAAGACTCGGTCTCCGTTGGTGCTGCCATGGCAGACTCAGGAGGGGGAGGGGGAGGAGGCGGGGGATCCGGAGTTGCAGTGCCCGCACTGGCTAATCGTGGACCATAGGCCATGTTGCAAAGAATTATACGCAGACCAACAGAAGGTTAAGTGTGCGTGTGTGTGTGTGTGTGTGTGATGAGGAAGGGGAAGGGTTTAATAAGAATCAAGGAGGCTGGAAGATGTGTTCACTAGTAGGTCCCTGCAACGACTACGCGGTATTAGCAACGTCACACAAAACCAATTCGGTGAGTAACGGCAGCAGAGAAGCGAATTGCATTGATTCAGAAAGATGAAAAGCGTATAAATAGGTTTGTCCGCATAATGTTCTCGGACAGCTCCAATAATAGAGATCATCATGTAATTGGAATAAGAAGATAGGCTAAAGAAAGGAAGGGTGTCCATACCTTAGAGGGTCGTCGCATTATCTGCAATTTAGATCTATTAACTATATTTCTGCGGCTGCGTTTGTGATGAGCAAGGGCCGCAGCCCTGGAAGGTAAAGAGGGAAAGAAGAACTTTGGGGGTATTTTGCATCCGCGTCGAAGCTTTTGTGGTCACGCGCGCTTAGTCAGCAGTAGCTTTCCCGAGGCTTCCTCAGGACCAGAGCCTCAGGTATCCATACCAGCGGGTGCCTCAAGGGAAGTGTGGGGCCGAGAATGTTCTTTTTGTACTCCGAAGAGATCCAAGACTCCAAGGGGCTTGTTGGTCTCACCTCTTGATCTGCAAGTATCTGTCTAATTTGTACTTGTAACAGATGAAAGGAAGTCTATTGGACTATACAACTACTACGTAGCCCGTATACTACCGTACGTAGATATCAGACAAGGAACGTATGCAAAATCACATAGTTTCAGTGAGGGGCAACGGTGTGAATTCTCAGTAGAAATATCACCCGGAATGCACACCAGGAGCTTCCTTGCGTTCCAGCGTAACCTCACTGGTAAATCGCCCACTCAATAACCACAAGAGAGTCCAAACTCCAGGCCAGCTGTTCCAAGAGAACTAGTGAAAGAGAAGGAAGCGCAAGAACTCAAGATGAAGGCAGCCTTACTCGTCGTTGACATGCAAGAGGACTTCTGTCCACCCGTAGGTCGCCTTCATAATCTGCATCGTATTATCTAGAATGTCTGACACTTACGGATTCCCAACAGAACGGAGTTCTTCCAGTCCAGGAGGGGCGCGCAATCGCACCTATTATAAATGAGTTGTTGGCACACCGGGGGTTCGCGGTACGGGTGGCCACACAAGATTACCACCCAGCGGACCATATCTCCTTTGCCAACAGCCATCCCCCTCCCAACAACCACCCTTTTGAGAGTGTGATTACCGTGAACAACCCAGCCCCGGGGAAAGGGCATGAAACCAAACCACAAAACCTGTGGCCGGCGCACTGTGTTGGGGAAACCAGGGGAGCTGAGATCATCCCCGAGATTCATACCAGTAACATCGACCTGTATGTGAAGAAAGGTATGCACTCTCAGGTGGAAATGTACTCCGCTTTTGCCGATGCTTTTGGGAATGTTGATCCTTCTATTACGGCTCAATCGGTGGATGCCGACCTCCAGGACTTCCTGTCCAACAAGGGCGTCACGGACGTCTTCGTGGTTGGACTGGCGGGCGACTATTGCGTTAAGCATACAGCTATTGATGCCGCGAGGGTAGGCTTTAAAAGTTACGTGGTTGAGAATGCCACTCGGTGTGTCGTGCCGGGTTCGGGTTGGGACGGAGCCAAGCGGGAATTGAGGGAGGCCGGAGTATCCATTATTCAATCAAATAGCCCTGAGATTTCTGGTCTGGAAATCTGAGCTCTCAGATCGTATGGTTCAAATGTGACTGACCAGGGTGGGCTCTTTCTGGATCATTGTTTTGAGGATGGCGGTGAGTTTCTTGTTAGTTTAGCCATCATCGACCTATAGTTAGGTAGTTACCCGAATTGAACGATTGGTTTCAATAGCACTCTAAATAGTTCAGCTTGATATGGACATGTCCTATATACTAATGCAAAATGTGTTCCCAATTCAATTGATACTGTAGAGAGAAGGATAAATGGTGTCCCTTCACACGAGGGCCACTAATGCAACGGCCCCAACGCCACAACCTCTTCTAGTGATAATGTTCGATGTGATAGACTAATATTCCAGGCCATCTGAGGAGACTTTCACTAGAATAGAATCTGATATCATACTAACTACCAACATCTCTCGATGATCCTCGGTAGACCGTGTAATTATAATTATATTCGATACGAAGCTACGGCATGACAGGTCTCCACTGTGACGTATGTCCGCGCATCCCTTCAATGGCGATAACCAACTGCCACCACCGATTAGAAGAGCCCCCAGCTAGGATGAGATCTTTGATTGCCCGTCATGAAACAAGGGCGTGTGGCAGCCGTAAGCCGACAATCCCTTCTTGAATGGTTCCGGTGCGTGGGTCATATACCGACGATCCTCGAAACCGTCGGTTGCCACGCATGCGGAAGCAATTCCCGACCGTTATTAGGTATGGGGTAATCAATTCACATCTCCTTTTCTTTGTTTACGGGGTGCCCCCATTGTTCCCACGCAATAACTTATCCATACTCTGTCTTTTGTATCTGCTCTGCTAGAGGTTGTTATACACGGGCCAGTAAATCTTGTATGTACGTCATGGCGACCACACTTAGGCCTTCTGCTTCCACCACGGCTTTCACTTTCCTCGATAGAAAGTTGGAAGCGCCCGATGTGAGGGCTGCTACGACACTCTCGCATTCAACTACCAACCTGTCGGGCGAATCCTTGCCGTATTGGCTGGTCAACGTCCCTCCCGACAGATGGCCGGTTGAATGCCCTAGCTTTCTCCGTGATATTTGTGAGAAGAATATCCAAATACTGTCGATTCCCGATGAACAATATGAGAGACAAGGGTGGGAACTAGTGAAGGAGATCGTCCGTGAGTGTTCGACAGTGTGAGTAGGAGACTGTTGGGAACCGCATCTAATGATCTAGGAACCAATCAAATCGATCGCTTCCAACGCCTTCCCAGCGATTTGCGAAAGTACCTCGAATACAAGGAGTGGATTGTCGCCGAGTATGGATCAGTCATGCGGTTTGTTGTGAAGAAGCGACTACGCTGGGGAGAAGGCAGTCCCGACGACCTTAAGCCCAGAGGGCGTCCGTTTGAGTTTGACGGTGAGTTCGTGTTCAGTCTCGCGCGATATGGATCTCTGTGACACAAGTCGCTGATATTATAGTAGAGGATACTCGAATTCTATACAACGACTGGCCGTACGGAATCGAGAAAGATATCGTCCATTTAGTGGTGTGGACCAAGTTCGAGCTGGAAGATGATCCGGTGACCGACGACCTGACACCGCGGGCTAGACAAGAGATTGATGACTATGTAAAGAAGACGTTCTGCTCGCGAGTACCATCAGAGAAAGTATGTATCCCGTGCGTGCGGTGGATATGATGTCTGCTGCCTTCGTGATTCCGTCCCATGGTCAAGTGACGGCTGACCATCATTGCAGGTCATCTGGTTCAAGAACTGGAAGTCTCTCAAGTCAGTGCATGCGGTAGAACACTTCCATGTCATGTTATATAAACCGGATCCAGAATTCATGAAGGAAATCACTGGAGGGGATATGCCGATGGTTGCAAGGATGTGAGAGTTGCTTAGTACCTAGTAATAGTAGGTACGATTTGACTGTTGCTGCTTTAAAGCGAAAGAGATCCCGTTTTCTTTTTTGTTGTTTTTTACCTACTTTGGCGCTGGTTTGGATTGGTTATGTTTCGAGTCAGGCAAATTATGCTTGTTTTGGTCTTAGTGCCGTCCAGGGTCATGATTTTTATCTCTTTCTTTCTTTCTTTTTGTTCCCAAATGACTATCTCTCAGTCATCTCATATAGATATTGATAGGATAGAGTCAATAATCCAAGACCACGATTCGAGGGATTCGTATGTAATATGTATACACAATAGCAGTAGATTAATGGATCTGTACAGCACCAGTACTACGTACTGCCAACCGAAGTACTCGGTAATGGAACGTTAATGGAACAACTTCCGGAAGCTATGAAAGACTCTGAATGGCTACGCGACGTAATCCCCACTTGCCAAGATGGACGGCCCCTCCTCTATCGATGGAGCTCTCGAAGGATCGGTGAGAAAAACTTCCTCTGGTTGAGCATGTGTCCAAGGGGACATTCTCTTTCGCTCCGTGATTCTACACGCCTCTGATCATGGATGATTTCTTTTAGTTTAGATCTATCTTTTATTCAGAAGAAGGGTACATACATACATACTGCATACTAGGTTAGGCTAGTAGTACATACACCACTGCGACATGTTCTGTAGGTATCCGGGTGTGTGTGGTGGGAAACGAGAGATGATCTTCTGTTGAGATTCAAGCATTCCCTTTTCAGAGGACATCTTTTCTCTCCCTGTTCTCCAGTATCCACCGCAGCTTATATAAATCGTAACCCGCCTCAACGTGTACCCGTTTTCTTCTTTCTCGTTTTTCTTTTCTAATAAAAGTTCCCCTTCATTGTCGAAGATTTCTTAAGGACAGAGATCTGGGTTGTAGTTCCTTGTCTTTCTTGCCTTAATGAACCGGATTGGTATCAGGTGATTGACTTGCAGTCTAACAATGCCAGTGTTGTTGTTCTTTTTTAATTGATTAGCGAAGGAACAAAAACAGACGAAGAGAACGAATACGAATTTAAAAGATCCCCAACGCGACAACAACTACTACTACTACTACTACTACTACTACTACTACTACTACTACTACTACTACTACTACTACTACTACTACTACTACTACTACTACTACTACTACGACTTCTATTCTGCCCCAAGCGACAAAACAAAAGAACTCCCTTGAGCTCCATTTTTCTTCAGGGTTATTGATTGGAATTGAAATTCAGCATTGTACTGTACTGTACTTGTTAGTAGGCAGTCATGGCCATACTCCCGCATATCCGCCGCCCGTCGTCGTTGGCGAGTCCTGCTACTAGTAAGTTACATACATACTTGAAATTTACAGACTTTAAACGTCACCTTTCCGCCTTTTTTTTTTGGATTTTATTTTATTATTTTTTGTTTGTATTTCCCTCCCACCTTCGAAAACGTCATCCCCTCTCTCTTTACTCAAGTCTTTCCCCTCCTCCTTCTTTCCTTCCACCCCATACTTTACACCATACATACATAACATTCGTCCATGCATACATTCTTATTTTTGTAATCCTTTTTTTTTTTTTTTCTTTTTTTTTCCCTCTTTTTTTCCCTCTCTCCTCAACACCACATAGTTGGCATCCCACCACCTTTCTTATACTTCTCCTCTCCTCCCCTCTCCTCCCATCATGTCTGCTGACTGGGGCTCCTTCTTCAATTCCTCAGGTAACCGCTCATCCACGGATGAGCCCAATGTTGTGGCCGGGGATGATGACACCGAACCCGACCAGGGTAATGGTACGTAGAAAAAAAGAAGAACCCAAAAAAAAAAAAGAAAAAAACGCCATGAGAGAACTCTCTTGCGGTGACATCGCCTAGGGAGCTTAAGATGCTGACCTCTCAGTCCTGTCGCACATTATCAGCCAGCTCCGCCCGGGAGCTGATCTGAGTCGGGTGGTGCTACCTACCTTCATTTTAGAACCCCGGTCTATGTTGGAGCGGATCACCAAGTATGCGCTATAGCTATCAGTATGGTGCTCAGTACTAATATCACCTTGTCACTAGCTTCATGGCTCATCCGGAGACCCTTCTGCCTATGCCCACCGTCGATGACCCCCTCGAACGCTTCGTCTCCGTGGTCAAGTTCTACTTGAGCGGTTGGCACATCAAGCCTCCGTATGTCTGCTCTTGTGGCTACCCATCACTCGTGTGAACCGGAAATTCGCTGACACTCTACGACAGAGGTGTGAAGAAACCGCTCAACCCGATTCTGGGAGAAACCTTTACTGGCTACTGGGATTATCCGGATGGAACCCGCGGATACTATATCGCCGAACAGACCTCCCACCACCCTCCCAAATCGAGCTATTTCTTCATGGCTCCCGAGCACAATATCCGGATAGATGGGACGCTGATCCCCCGCAGCAAATTCTTGGGCAACTCGGCCGGAAGCATGATGGAGGGCATTGCTGTTTTGCGCTTTTTGAACCGCGGTTCGAACAAGGAGAAGGGCGAGCGATAGTATGTTTCGCCCATGTCTTCCTCTGTTCGTGGTGCTGCTACTGACGTCAAATTTAGCATCTTGACTCAGCCGAATATGTACGCCCGGAATATTCTAATCGGAAAGATGAAATACGAGCTGGGCGACCACAGCTATGTCAGATGCCCGGAGAACAATCTGGTTGCCGATATCGAGTTCAAGACCAAGGGCTACTTTAGCGGCTCCTATAACCAAATTGGGGGTACGATCAAGAACAGCGAGACCGGTCAGATATATTACGAATTGTCGGGTTATTGGAACAAGGAGATGTTCATTACAGATGTCCAGGTATGTTTGTCCCCCAAATGGCATCTACCAGCCACGGATATCTAACTGGCGCAGACCCATAAGAAAGAAATTCTGTTCAACGCAAGCACCGCCACCCATACCCCTCCCCAGGTGCGGCCCATCGCACAGCAGGGCGAACGCGAGTCACAGCGGCTGTGGCAGACTACGGTCAAGGCACTCATGGAGCGGAATCACGAGGTGGCCACAGATGAAAAGACGAAGATTGAAGATCGCCAACGAGAAGAAGCAGCCAAGCGGGTCAATGACGGCGTGGAATGGCACCCGAAACTCTTCCGTCGGGTTCAGGGAGGTCCTGGTGGCGCCGACGAAGGTGAGGAGGATCTCGATTGGATCATCAACGCACAAATGTAAGTCTCCACAGGCGCACGGATTGATTTAAACTCACGAGTGTTGCAGTGACGCGCACAACCCCGAATTGGCCACCAAACAGATTTTATCCATTGCCCCGATCTTAGAAGGCCAGACTGAGCCCTCTCAATACAAAATCCCACCTCACAAAGCGGGGCATGAGGCGGCTCCACCTGACCACAACGGCGCCGCCCCGAGTGCAGCTCAGCCCACCTCCTCCGTAGGTGAAAAGCTCGAAGAGGTGCAGCGCAAAGACACGCGAACGTCGGACGTCGACACCTTCGTGGACGCCAAGCCGTGACTCGCATCTCGGTGGTTTAATATCTAACGACCGCATCTCGAACTAAATACAGGTCTCGGAGGGTCAATGAGATGATAAAAAAAAAAAAAAAAAGAGGGGGAGATTGAGAAGCGAAAAAGAAATGGTAGCGCAGCCTGGAGTTACAAACGTGGTTAGCCTGCGGTGACGGAGCGATTAAAGGGACATGACTGACTGACTTAACCGTACATCGGAAGGTACTGTCGGACCCTATGACTCCAGGCCCTTGTTGTTCAAAACCAGGTTTCGACCGATGTGCCCTACCGAACCTCTACTGGATACCCGATTGAATATTCTGTCTTTATAATTAGTATATCACATGGCAAAAATAAAGGGTTGGCTGGTCGGCATACATATAGGAGTATAAGAAGGACGGATGGGAGCATATAATCTGTCGAGTTTCTATTGTGATGTGAAGGGGTTTTATCCTAATATGCTGTTAAAGAGTCGTGCTCTTCCACAATATAACCAAATACTTTTAGTTCGATTTTCTTCTAACCATGCATAGTAAAGTAGATATGATTCTAATAGATTGCATATTGTATGCGATATAATTTAATAGGGTACATTAACTCCACTGGTATCACGTACAGTAACCACCAAGACAACCGACACGAGCAACGCCGGAACCACCAACACCAAGAGACAAAATGCAGATACTCAACGACGAGAGAGAGAGAGAAAGAGGGCATGCAAAGACGAAAGAGAAGAAGGGAATCAAGCAGAGAATAATTCCCCTCTCTGCCCAGCACCCCTCTCCAACTCCCGTCGTCGACTATTCTTACTCGCAGACCCGCTGCCCTCTCTTTCCTCCCGCGCCTCCTCCTGCTGCTCCATCTGCTCCTCGATCTCCTTCTCCGTATCCTCCCGCAGGCCCAGAATATCCGGCGGAATAAAACTCATCTGCACGCTCGGCGCGCCCTGCATATACCGCAACTGCTCGTGGATGGACTGGACAAGCCCGGATAGATAGCTGCGCGGGTTCTTATTCTCGAGCTTGCGCATCTCGCTCAGCGGGGGGAATAGCGAGTAGTCTGGGCCGAAGTGATTGCGGAAGGCGACGGTTTCAGGGATGTTGGGGTCGATAGTATCCTGGGCGTCGATGAGGATGGAGGTTTCGTGGGCCCAGGCGCGGGAGACGTTGCGGGGGGTGTAGCCGCCACCGCCCACGACGAGGAGGGGGAGGCCGAAGGTTTTGACGTAGGCGACGCAGGCGCCGTGGGCGGCGACGTTGAGGTTGAAGCAGCCGAGGCGGTCACAGCCGAGGGAGTCGGCGCCGCACTGGAGGACGATTGCGCCGGGTTGGTAGGTTGAGATGCAGGAGCCAATGACTTCGCGGAAGAGACGGATGTAGGATTCATCGTCGATGCCGTCATGGAGGGGGACGTTGACGGCGTGATGTGCTCCTGGATTCAGTGGGTGGGTTGGTCCGGTGCTGTCTAGGGCGCCGGTGCCTGGAAAGAAGTTGTCCTTGTCGT